TTTTTTTTTTTTTTTTAATTTGGTACCGGGGATCGAACTTGGGACCTTGTGCTTGCAAGGCAGGCGGAGGAACCACTGAGCTAAATCCCTGGCCTGTAACAGGCTTTTGCTATATAGTTCAGGCTGGCTTTGAACACAATATGTAGCCCAGGCTGGCCTCAATCTCGTGGCAGTCCTCCTGCCTCAGCCTCCCAAGTGCTGGGATACAGGCTTGTGCCACCACACTTGGCCTCACTGTGGCTTCTATACAGTATTCTAAAAAGAGATAGTCATTAAGAATTAAGTATAATTGATACTATATATGTTTTGCAGGTAAAAATGGCAGGTAAGTAGATCGGCTGGTAACCCAGGCAGAGCTTCATGGAAACTTAGTCCTCAGTCTGGTCACCAATTCCAACATCTGAACTATCATTTTGCAAGTTTTGGGACTTAATCTTTTTAGTTCACTTAGAAGAAAGCAATATATTAAGATAGGACTTAAGCCTACCAAATTCATAGTAGATTCAGATATCAGAATTCCAACTTCCTAATCCACAGTGAGGGAAAAATAAGAACACTGCCTAGTTGAAGACTTCTGCTTCAGATTATGCATATATTTTATTTTAGACAAATGCTGCAACTCAGAATACCTAAGTATTCTTAGGATAAGATTAAGAGAAAAAATTCTTGAAGGTATTGGTGAGTTTTTAAATGATGATGTGAGGGGTCAAGTTCCTGGAAGGAAGTGGGTCAATAAAGAGGGATTTCCTATTTGGCTGTGTCTTTCCCCTCGAGGCATTTATTGGCAGTGGCTATGATGCTAAGGAACTGGACAAGATTTTCAGTAACCTCATGGGGCAAAGGAAACAAAAGTTATAATTTAGAAAGAGGCGCTCCACACTTTCATCTGTAACCTGTGCAAGACCAACCCCTATGGGCCAGGGATTTAGCTCAGTGGTTCCGCCGCCTGCCTCACAAGCACAAGGACCTGAGTTCAATCCCTGGTACCAAAAAAAAAAAAA